AGTCGGCTCAGCGAGCGCCGGGGAACATCGGCCGCCTCCAGCTCCGCGGCCCGGCCCGGCCCCGCTTGGCCGCCTCAGGTGAGTCTCCCGCCCCGCCCGGGTCCCTCCTCCGACCGGCGGCCCACTGCGGGTCGGGAAGATAGTGTGCTCCCCAGGGTGTCCAGGCCCCCAAACGGGACCCCACAGAACCCCTGGGCCTGCCCAGCGACGCCCCCCCCGCCGCCCCACACTCATCCTTAACTCTTCCCTGGTGCGGCGTACTTACCCACGCCAGCGCGGGAGCCGGCACCCCGCAGAGCTGGCCACCGCCTGTGCTCTCGAATTCAAGTGGGAACCCTGAGCGCCCCCTCCCCCCTCCGCCCCCAAGTCTGGGTCCACTGGAAGGTGCCCCCTGCTTGAGGAGGCACCTGCGTAGATTCTTGGCATCGGGCTGGGCCTCCCTGGATCCCGCGACCCCAGCGCTACTGAAGAGTCCCAGACCGAAGCCCCCCTTCACAGCCCCGCGCCCGAGGCCCAGTCGTCCCCCTCCCGCGGGGACTCCGTCTCTATTTTTTGGGGAGGGGAGGCTCAGCGGAAGCCCCGAGTTATAATTAACCCCACTCGAGTTTCCTAGTTAATCTCCACCACCACCCCAGCTCAGCTCGGCGGGAGCCGGGTGTGGGGTGACCCCCGGGAGAGAGGGGGGAGTTCCGACCAGGGGAATTTTGATCCCTTGGCTGGAGATGCAGGAACCGCAGCAGCTGCTGTCCCAAAATAGCACCCCCGCCTTTGCCTCCCGGTAGCTTCGAAGCTCCAGGAATCAGACGCCGGAGCTCTCCGTTCAGACCCCTGTAATGCCCGCGAGCCCCCAGACCCCCGCCCCAAGTTCCCAGCTCCGGCACTCGGGCGGGGAGCGCCGTCCTTTTCTCGGTCTCTACTGCCCTCCGCTGGCGGCAGCGAGCACCGCAGCGTCGGGCGGATGGGGGACTTGAGTCCTGTGGGGGGCTAAGTCTGGCGAGCCTGTTGGCTGAGAATAGGGGAGAGGGGTGGGCAACTGACGGCCACCTGCGAGTACCAGCGGACTGTGTCACACGGAGAAGCAGGCGGGACTGGGTGGGGCAGGGGCTGGAGTAGGCAGGATTCGGGGTACCCTGAGACTTATGGCTCCCACATTCCAAATGCCCCCAACCCACCCCCTAGGGCCCTGGCCCTGGCCCTGCAGGAGAGGCTGCGCCTTGGTATCACCACAAGTTCCCCCATCAGCACCTCCCATCAGAGAGGGCCCCGCCCCTGCCGGGTGGACTGCGGCCTCTGGTGACTGTGCCCAACCTAGTCCATCCTGCCAGGGAAAGGAGGTGAGGGCCGTGGACCCTTCTCTGGGCAGGGAGGGTATTGCTTGCCAGGTCTCGTTTCTGTTCCGTGCATGTGTCTGGGTGTATGTGTGCGCGCTTCATCTGTCTCCTTTTGCTTCTCCCTGTATGTCTGTGTCCTTGTCTCTCTGCCCATCTTTCTCCCTCCACTTCTCTCCCCTCTGCCAACCTGCCCCACCTCCTCTGCAGCTCAGTGATAACCCCTGGGCAAGAGTGTTACCTAATCTCCCTCCTGTTGCCTCTAGCCTTCACCCCCACCTTTCTTTCTCCCAGCAGACACCCGCCTGCCCTGGCAGCCATGAGGCCCCCGTGGTGTCCCCTGCACAAGCCCTCCCTGACTACCCCACTCCTCCTCCTCTTCCTCTTCATGGGAGGAGGGGCAGGGGCTGAGGGCCGGGAGGACCCAGGGCTGCTGGTGACAGTTGGAGGGGGCCGGCTGCGGGGCACCCGCCTAGCGGCCCCTGGGGGCCCGGTGTCTGCTTTTCTGGGCATCCCCTTCGCGGAGCCACCTGTGGGCCCCCGTCGATTTCTGCCACCGGAGCCCAAGCGGCCTTGGCCAGGGGTGCTGAATGCCACAGCCTTCCAAAGTGTCTGCTACCAATACGTGGACACCTTGTACCCTGGCTTTGAGGGCACCGAGATGTGGAACCCCAACCGTGAGCTGAGTGAGGACTGCCTCTACCTCAACGTGTGGACACCATACCCCCGGCCTGCAACCCCTGCCCCTGTCCTCGTCTGGATCTATGGGGGTGGCTTCTATAGTGGGGCCTCCTCCCTGGACGTGTATGATGGCCGCTTCCTGGCCCAGGCCGAGGGGACTGTGTTGGTGTCCATGAACTACCGGGTGGGAGCTTTTGGCTTCTTGGCCCTGCCGGGGAGCAGGGAAGCACCAGGCAATGTGGGTCTGTTGGATCAGAGGCTGGCACTGCAGTGGGTGCAGGAGAATGTGGCAGCCTTTGGGGGGGACCCAATGTCAGTGACACTGTTTGGGGAAAGCGCAGGTGGCGCATCTGTGGGCATGCACCTGCTGTCCCCACCCAGCCGGGGCCTGTTCCATAGGGCTGTGCTGCAGAGCGGTGCACCCAATGGGCCCTGGGCCACGGTGGGTGTGGGAGAGGCCCGCCGCAGGGCCACAATGCTGGCCCGCTTTGTAGGCTGCGCCCCAGGTGGAGCTGCTGGCAATGACACAGAGCTGGTAGCCTGCCTGCGGACTCGGCCAGCTCAGGACCTGGTAGACCACGAGTGGCACGTGCTGCCACAGGAAAGCGTCTTCCGCTTCTCCTTTGTGCCTGTGGTGGATGGAGACTTCCTCAGTGACACGCCCGAGGCCCTCATGGATGCTGGAGACTTCCACGGCCTGCAGGTGACTAGTGGCTGGAAGGGGTGGAGCTGGTTCCTCTAGGCCTCTTCTCCTAATGGCCCCTGCCCCTGGGAACCCAGGCATGAGGGCACCTCAAGATCCAACCCCTAAGGCCCAGGCTTCTGAGTGCTCTGCCGCCCTTCCTCCCTGAAGGCTCAATTCCCAGGGTGGTCAGTGGGACAAAGAATAAGAAATATGGGTATATTTTCTCTTTCTCTCCATCCCTTCCCCAATCTAGTACTTTCTTCCTCCATGGTTTCGGGTCTGTAACTGTTCATCTCTCTGGCTCTTTGTCCATCTGTTTCTGTCTGCCTGTCTGTTTGTGCCCCCCCCCACCCCACCCCTCCACCCTGTCCCCTCAGGTGCTGGTGGGTGTGGTGAAGGATGAGGGCTCCTATTTTCTGGTTTACGGGGCCCCAGGCTTCAGCAAAGACAACGAGTCTCTCATCAGCCGGGCCCAGTTCCTGGCCGGGGTGCGGGTCGGGGTCCCTCAGGCAAGTGACCTGGCTGCCGAGGCTGTGGTCCTGCATTACACAGACTGGCTGCACCCTGAGGACCCAGAACTCCTGAGGGATGCCATGAGTGATGTGGTGGGCGACCACAACGTCGTGTGCCCCGTGGCCCAGCTGGCTGGGCGACTGGCTGCCCAGGGTGCTCAGGTCTATGCCTACATCTTTGAACACCGTGCGTCCACGCTCCCCTGGCCCCTCTGGATGGGGGTGCCCCACGGCTACGAGATTGAGTTCGTCTTTGGGCTCCCCCTGGAACCCTCGCTAAACTACACCGTCGAAGAGAAAACGTTTGCCCAGCGGCTGATGAGATACTGGGCCAACTTCGCCCGCAAAGGGTCAGCAGTGCTGAGGGGAGGAGGGCCTCAGGGAGCCAGGGAGGCAAGAGGGTGGGGGACAGCGACTGAAGAGGCCAGAGGGGGGGGGGGAGGATCACAAGGAAGGAGACAAAGGGGGAAAAGAGAGCATGACAAAGGAGACCTGGAGACGCAGGGAGGCTGAGTAGCAAATCCCAGCGAGGACAGAGGTAGAAGGAGGTGAAGAGGAGAGACAGAACAGTTTCCAGAGCGGTTAGCATGAAATGGAAGACTGGATTCTGTGGAACCAGTGGTGGTCTGGCTGTGGCATATGGGCACACATACCAGTTACCTGTCTGAAGGAGACTGTAAACCCGACATCACATCAAAATTAAACTTGTGATGTTTGCAAAGATGGCTACATATAGTAAGGGATCAATAAATTATAGCACTTTTTTAAGCGAGGAAAGACAAAGATGGAGCAGAAAACCTTGGGAAAGAGAAGGGTGTCAGAAAGGGAGAGAGGGAGAAAAGGTAGACTCCAGACAAGGGGGCTCGCTGGAGAAGGAAGGTTAGAGTTGGGGGGAGGAGCCTCTCCTCGGAGCCACACAGGCAGAGTCAGGAAACAGACAACCTCCTGCCGTCTGTCTCCACTCCCCCAGCCCTCTGGGCCAGACGGGCTTGCCTGAGGCTGAGCCTTTCCTTTTGCAGGGACCCCAATAACCCCCCGGACCCCAAAATCCCGCAGTGGCCACGGTACACAGCGGAAGCACAGCAATACGTGAGCTTGAATCTGCGGCCACTGGAGGTGCGGCAAGGGTTGCGCGCCCAGGCCTGCGCCTTCTGGAACCGTTTCCTACCCAAATTGCTCAGCGCCACCGGTATGCTGGGGCCAGAGGAGGGTCTGGGAGGAGGGGGAGAAAAGGGACTCGGAAAGAGAAAGAGGGGAATGGGAGCCGGCTGGGTGTAACCCCTCTCTTCTCCCCCCTCCAGCCACGGAGGCTCCCTGCACCTGCTCAGGCCCCGCCCTTGGGGAGGCTGCCCTGAGGTCCAGGCCCGACCTTCCCCTACCCCTCCTCCTCCTCCTCCTCCTCCTTTCTCAGCTCCTGCTGCAGTGACTACGGCCTCTTCCCCCTCCGGCCTCAGGGACCTCTCTAAGGAATGGTCGGACGGTGGAGACAGGCCCCACTCAGGGATCTCCAACCCAGCATCTCCTCCCTCCCAAACCAAGACATTCAGACTGGACTGGCGGGAGGGTGACCTACAATCCGTCTCAGGGACCCACAGGCTTGTGTTGCCTAAATGAAAATGAAAGAGTCGTTTCCTTTTTTATAAAATTATTCTTTGGAGCCTGAGCCTGGTGTTGGAAGGGAGAGGGGAGAAAGGGGGCCTGGGTCTAGATAACACCCCTCCCCATGGGGCTATAACCTTCAACTATTTCTGTCTCTTCTCTTTCCCCACCAACCCTCGATCCACCCCTTTCTTATCCCTTCTGTCCCCTTGTCTTCCGGTCATTATCTCCCCCTCCCTCCCCCTTCTTGCTATCCTTCTCTGGCTCCGCCTCTACCCTCTTCCTCCCGCCTTTCTCATATTCTCCTTATCCTTTTTCCACCACCCCACGTGGCCTCCTACATTTTCCCGTGTCCTCCCTGCACTCACATCCCCACACGTCCATTCCCGCCCTAACCCATGTGCTCCCACCCCCACCCCACTCGCCGGGCGCCCTGGCCGCAGACACCCTGGACGAAGCGGAGCGCCAGTGGAAGGCCGAGTTCCACCGCTGGAGTTCCTACATGGTGCACTGGAAGAACCAGTTTGACCATTACAGCAAGCAGGATCGCTGCTCAGATCTGTGACCCAGGCCGGATCCCATGGTCCCCAGCCCAGCCCGCCCCGCCCGATCCCCCTAGCTGTATATACTATTTAAGGGCTGGGATATAACACGGAGGAGCCTCAGACTTTGCCCACCCCCCGACTTAGCCCCGGGGCTCCCTGTCCTCTGCATGTCTCGGGCCCAGCATACCCCAACCCCCCCCCCCCCGCGGTGCCTTCGCCCCTCTGGGCTGCCAATAAACTGTTACAGCCACAAGAGTGTGCGCGACTGGGGAGCCGCGGGTTGGGGCAGCATGCCTCCACCACCCGGCCCGAGTGGGCGTGGGGTGGGTGATGGAGGCCGGAGCACTCGCGGATCTCTGAGGCGGGGTGCCCCACGCGGGTAGCCTGCTGTCCCGCCCCGAGGCGGAGCTCGCGCCTGCGCAGTGAGGCCGCCTCGCGGCGGTGCCTTGTGGGAGTCCCGCTGGTCGGAGCGCCCTGCTGCCTGCTTCCTGGAACCCGGCCGGAGGGTACCCAGCACCTACAGGCCAGTCTTGCTGGAAACTCGCCCAAGACTCGGACCCGCAATCCCTGGAGTTCGCCCCACGCTGCGGGGGGGGGAAGCATCTGTCTGCTTGCTCCAACTCTCACGCCGGCCACCCTGGAACCTCTGAGGGACGTCCACCTGGGCCTGGCCCCGCCAAGCGGCGGGCCTGCTCGCCTGGCCCTCGTCTCAGGCCACTATCTGTACTACCACTACGGCTGCGACGGCGTGGACGACCGCGGCTGGGGCTGCGGCTACCGCACTCTGCAGACGCTATGCTCGTGGCCAGAGGGCCGGCCTGTGGGCGTGCCTGGTCTGGCTGCTGTGCAGGGGGCCCTGGAGGACATGGGAGACAAACCCCGAGGGTTCCGAGGCTCCCAGAGCTGGATCGGCTGTGTAGAGGCCTGCCTCTGCCTCGACTACTTCGGTGGTCCCCAGGGGCGTCTGTGTCACGTACCCCGTGGAACTGGGCTACAGGGACAACTGGAGAGCCTTTACTCCCACTTCACAGGGGGAGGAGGGCCTGTAATGGTTGGAGGGGACGCGGACGCCCAGTCCAAGGCCTTGTTGGGAGTTTGCCTGGGGCCAGACACAGATGCCTATGTCCTAGTATTGGACCCTCATTGCTGGGGTGCTCCCAAAAACCCCACTGAGATGCAGGCTGCTGGGTGGGTGGGCTGGAAAGAAGCAAGCACCACTTTTGACTGCAACTCCTTCTATAACCTGTGTTTGACCAGCCGTAACGACAGAGAGCAGCGGCACACCCACGACTGAATTTTAAGTTGCTAAACCGAGACACTGGCCGCACATGTACTCATCTACCCACTTCTCTAAGGTAGAGGCTGTGTAGTATCAGGCCCCCAGCAAGTTTCGGCAGAGTCCGGGGCCTTTGGCATCAATAAAATGGCAAGCTAATAATGGCCCCAGCTGATCTTTGGGAAACTTGGGGAAGTATATATACTAAGCCAGGAGTCACTGTGGAAGTGCTTTTATTGGCAGTAGGGCTGAAGGTACAAAAAAATCTCAGCTGGATGGGACAAGGCAGTCATAAGTATAGACGACACCAGGAGTGAGGCAAAGGAGACTCTCAAAAGAAATCCACATCATCTGGAGCATCCAGGTCACGGTATTCCACAATGGCCCGTGGGTCTCCACGAACCAACCTGCAAGGTAACAAAAAGGTAAGAACAGGATGAATTGAGAGTCCTTGAAAATGTCTTAACGGTGAAAAGCAAAACATCTCAGCTCACTCTCACCTGTTACGAGGTTTCCCAGGATAACCTCCCTGGCCTCGGAAGGCATCATAGTTCCCTCGGCCAGCACCATAGGGAGCATGAGGATATGGAGGGCCCCCTGTGGGGACTGCAGGGCGGACAGCACCAGCTATAAAAAAGACTGGGTGTTAAGTTGAAAAACTGTGACCTCAACCACATCCTAACTAAGTTTTCTTTTTCCCAGCCACCATCAAGTCTTTTCAGCTCCCCTCTAAACTTACCTCCATAGCCCAAGATAGGGGGCCGGGGCTGACCATAGGGCATCAGGCCCTGGGGAGTCTGGTGCGGGTAGGGGAGTCCCGGGGTCAGGCCTGGGGGGAGTACAACACGGACAGGAATATGAATTACTGCGGGGGGGGGGGGGAGGGACAAGTTGGGGGAGGAGACGGAATAGATGATGAGTAACTGAGGAATATGGCCCAAAGTGGGATAGAACTTTTTAGAAAATGTCAGGTTAGCCAGGAATCTCAAGAGTTAAGGGAGAGGAACATGTAGCAGACCCTCATAGATCGTATCTTACTCTGGGCAGGGCCAGGCGGCTGAGCTGGCTTGATTTCAGGCAGAGCTGGACGCTTGGCGTCAGTGAGAAAGTTATTAAAAAACGCCACCTCCTTCTTCACTTCCTCAATTTTCTCTGCATGCTTGTTGAAGATATGTTTGCGTACAAACTCAGGACCCTGGGTAACAAAAGAACAGGATGCGGTTACAGCAAGCAGTCTGGGTTCCCTAACTCCCTAGACTCAAGGTGGAAGGACAATCAACCTTCCATCTTCCTCCCCAGGCCGTCAGGATACTTCTGGCTTAACTCCTCCCCTTCTCCCACCATTCTCCCACACCATTCTCCCATCTCAGACCTTGAATTTTTTGCCACTGAGAGGGCATAGCCACTTATCCTTGCCCAGTTCCTGAGTGTTAGAGGTGACAAACTTTTCCACTTCCTGCTCAGGGTCTTTTCGGCCCATCTTCTGGGCCTCTTCCTCTGAAAGTGATTCCCGCACACTCAGCAGGGGAGTCAGCTTCTCCTCAAATGTCTTCTGCCACTCTAGCACTATGGTTTTGGGAACAGACACACAACAGGTTGGAGGAGGAAGCCAGAGCAAGAAATAAGCCATACAGGAGGGCACTAGCTTGGCAAAGCAGAACTAAGACTAGAGAGTAGCTGGGTAGAAAGGACACCCAAAAGGGAACCAGGAGATAGGGGAAGCTAGATGTTCACCTTCTCCATGACTGATGCGGTTGGGTGGCATGGGTCCCCGAACATGGATGATGCCACAACGGTTGGGCATTTCATCCTCATTGGGGTACTCGCATGTGTTATAATAATCCAAGGAATGTACAATGCGCAAGTAGAGGAGGAGTTTATCCAGAACCTGACAGAAACAGGAAGTCATGAGTTCACCATACTTTTGTCCGTCCCCCCCTAGCCCCCATCCAGATGCACCCATACCCCGCTCCACCCTCACCTTGATCAGCTTCTCATCCCGTTCCACATTGATCTCAGCTGGGTTTCCTTCCTTAGGAGGCTCCTCAGGGGGTGCCCCTCCACTGCTCCCCAGTAGCTCCTCCTCCTCAGCACTCACTTCCTCAATCAGGTAGTCAGTGATGTTCTTTAAAATTGGGTTCTGCGAGGGCAGGCTCTGGGTGGAAGATAGGGGAAAGTGAGACCAAAAGAAGCCCCTAAAGGCAGGTATGTAAGCACCTAATTTGAAAAGGGAAGATGAGGTAGAGAGGTTTGGGGCACCTGTTTGTCTTCATTTCTGAATGTGCCCACCCTAGCCTACAAATAACCACTAGCACTAATCCGCTCTGCTGGAAGTTGGGAGGAGCAGCGCAGATTATATGCACAAACTAATGGGGTGGGTACAAAGAGGTCAACGCAACGGATTAAGAAAAGAGGTGCCCACAACAGATGAGGTGATATCAGCTGCTTTTGAAAAAGTCTCATAGGGAGTCACTGACTGTTGGCAGAGGTGGTGTCCCAGGCTCAGAGGCCCAGAGTTGGGTCCTGTCATCCAGCGTGTGAATCAGCTTGGCCGCCAGTTTGATATCATTGCGCACGATCTGCTTGTGCTGGGTAATGCCGTTGATGTTGCGGACACGGCGGGTGAGGTCTCGGTTCACGCCAGGGCTCAACTCACATTCCCGGAGCTGCAGGGGAACAGAAAACTTACCAACCTTCCCCAAGAAGCAGAACTCAAAGGATGGTCCCCAGTAATTAAACTGTGAGCTCTGAGGACAGGAATAGATGTGCCCCAAGCTCACAAGGTCACACACTAAATGGAGCAAACAGCGAGCGCGATGAATGAAGCAGTGCACAAAGGAGTATCAGTTGTATGGAACGTGGAGAATTCCACTTTGTCTTCCTCAAGATCCCACTCCTCACTTACTCGGATGTTCTGCAGATTCCAACAGATCTCTTTGATGTTCACACTGCGGTCAAAGGTCACCCAGCCACGCCGGAAAAACCTAAACCAGAAAGCAAATGTCAGCATGATTTGGGAGCAGAGGTGATGTTGGCCGTCGGCCTCCCCCTGCACATGGCACCACTCACCTCCTCTCTGGCTGTGGCTCTGACAGTGCCACACGCATAAAGCCTGGGTATCTTTTACAAAGCTGGGAAAAGAGAACAGAAACCCCATAGTAATTCAAGGAGTCACTTCTTCCTCTCATCCCCATGTCCTCAGAACCCTAGGCAATAGCCTTTTACTCTACTTGGCAAGGAAAACCCAAAAAGGGTTCAAGAATACTATCACATGAAAGCAAATGTTACAATCCTGGGCAAGGGGCTCTCTCCCAAGAGAACACTAGTGATGGCTAGCAAAAGCTGTGCCAATTGTCTTCTCGTCTCACGTCCCCACACCAAAGGAACAGCCAGGCTATCATCCTTTCCCCAGATACTGTACACCTTCACTCACAGATATGATCTCGGCCCGGGAGATATTGGGGGCGATGTTACGCATAAAGAGAGAGCAGGTCTTATGCAAGGGCCGAGGTTTACATTCCAGTCCAGGAGTTTCCTTTGGTTTTTCCCTTTCTTCTTCCTTAGGCTTCTCCTTTTCCTTGAGTGTTTCTTCTGTGCAGGAAGTGGTAGGTGCGGGTGAAACTTTATTGTTGGTTTTGGAGGGTAGGGTAAGCGAGCTGTCAACTTCCTTTCAGTCTCACCCCAAAAGACCACCCCTTCCATAATTTCAGTGACCGCTCTCCTGCCCACCCATGATCAGTAAAAAGAGAATTTAAGCCAAAAGCAGGAAATAAAACCTACCAGTCTCCTCCTTCTCCTCAGCTTGGCCGGACTCAGACTCAGACTCAGATTCAGACACACTGCCCTCATCGAAGCTGTCATCCCCACTATGCTTCCTATTCCGCTTCTTGCTGCTCTGTGAGAGACACAAGAGGTTGTGTCAGACCACCAGGACCCCAGCCCTGACACGGACACCATGCTAGAGGGGCCTACCTTCTTAGCTTCTTTCTCAGAGTCTTCTTTCTTCTCTTCCTTGTCCCCTTCACCCTCAGATTTCTTAGTTTTGTCATCACTGGGACTGTCATTTTCAGTCTAGAGAGAGAGACCACCACTGGGGGTGTCAATCTTCCTTTTAATTTTTTAAGGTTTCTACCGCCATCCACAACTGAGCCCAGAATTCACCCCAACACAAAACTCCCCCTGCCCCAGCCCCTCCAGTTTCATCTCGTTAGGATCCCACCACCACCAAAGCATCCTTCTCCTACCCAGGCCCATCACCAGAGGCCCTAGAACTCAGACCTGTTTGCCTTCTTCTTTCTTGTCATCCTTATCATTGGCTTTGCGCTCTCCATCCCCCAGGCCTGGTCCAGTCCGACCTTCCTCTTTTTTATTGGGCTCCCCCGGCTTGCCTGCCTGTTCCTCCTCCTCCTCTTGCTCTAGGATGCGCAGATCATTTTCTGTACCTCCTTCCATCTTAATCACAGCTACCAAAAAGGGACCAGAGGTCACAATCCAACGGCCCTGGCCTTCAGCCTCTGCTTTCTGTCAGCCTATTTCCCAGCCAAGACCTTGGTCACAAGACATCCCCAACTCTTTCAATTCACAAACCTGCATCCAACATCTTAACAATGGCATCAGCTTTATCTATATCCAGGAGAAGATTATCAAACCAGCCACTCTCCATGAGGGACAAAAATACCCTCAATCGATTTTGCAGGGCTCCCCGGGCCTCTTGCCGTCGCTTCCCCACCTCATCTGGGTGGTACTTAGACCGAAACCTGGGAAGGAAGTAGGAAGGAAAAAGACATAACAGTCACTGGAAGCCAGGGCCAGGCCTTGGGGAGGGGCCCAGGAAAGTCAGGGCATTGCCTCTATCCTCACACCCACAAGAGATCATAAAAACAGCAAGATTAGGAGAGGGGTGCACTACAACCACCCAATACCCCCAAAACCAGAAGTCCTGCTCTGAGAAGATCTGGGGGAGAGTCAGAAACTAAGAGCTATAAACTGGGGAAGAACAACTGACCACAAAGGTCAGCATTAGAAAGGCAGATTACTGCCTAAGTCTCTGGGAAACAATAACTTTAGAAAGTGCAGTTTCTAAAGCCTCCAAGAGGAAGCCTAAGGAAGTAAGTCCCAAGTCTCCTTATCCTTGCCAACCCCAAACTAAAGTCATCAA